GGGAAAGACCTGACTGTTCTGAGGCTTCGATCCCAAATGGCTTTGGAAACCTGAATGAAGAATTAGTTCTAAGCCAATGTCAGCTGCAGATACCTAGACTCCTGGTGAACCAAAAACACTTATACCTGTGATAAGGAAAGTATCAAAAAGCTGTTGCCTGTTTTTCCAAAGATGACTCTGAGACTCGGGTGAAATCACTTGCCATAGAGCAGCAGCCTCCAGAAGACAGTGCAGGGGTGGCTTACGCATGAGTCTGTTGCCAGCTGCTGTGATTTTATCCTGCATCTTGTGATAGCTGGATTCTTTCCTAAAGCAACAGCTCTTGTGTTCAAATAAGGTGAAACAGCTTAGTTTCAGCTTAAAACTAAAAAAGAACCACCTTTAAAAAAATCCTCTGGTTACAAAATGAAAACATGATCTCTAAAAACTTTAAAAACAGAGAGCAAATTAAAAACACTCCTTTTTTAATATTATATTTTTGAGCCAATCTTAAAGGGGCCCAGCTCATAAATTTTGAAAGTGTATATTTGGCAAGAGTAACAAGCTAAAGGAAAGTTTGTCATGGATTGACTGAGAAAAGAAAAAGGAGGACACCTACACCTTATTGATCCTAGAGTAACTAGAAATAAGGAGCAAGATGCAGAGTTAACAACATATATGGGACAAACATTCATGAACTAATTACTACTTCCTGCTCCCAAGAAAATAAAATCCTTCTCCACTAGAAGGAAGAGAGAAGACATAAAAACCTAATAGTCATGAGCTAGTTGCTTCCTTCACAAATGTTCTGAAGACCCTTTTTTGCAGATTTTGAACAAGGGTCCCAGCAGCTGAACCTGGCCACAGGTGACATCTATTTTCCAGCTTGGCAGAGCTTCTTCAAACGAGCAGCCTCACTGCTGCTCAGAGTATCCAACATGCAAACAACAGGGAAGGGGCCTAAACAGCGTGGAAGAGCCCACAGTGGCGTGAGGAAACTTTGTGACTTAATTCCTCATGAGGAACAGATCCGATGGGTTATTCAGATTGCCCTAACTATTGTGGTGGAATTACAAAGTATGGGAGAACTTTAAAAAGTCTGCAGTCACTGAAGTCAAAAGCTTCTTGCAAATTAAGAGAACATGAAAGAGGGCAGCTGTTTGGCTTTTATAAAAGACAAATTCTGATGCTACAGCCCTCCAGTCCTCTCTTGGACAGGAGAGGGGAGAGCAACAAACCAGCTCTTTTTTCTTAAAAAACCGCTCTCATTCTTAAAAAGCAATAAAGATGATCCCCCCCCGACATCTATCCTTGTTTGGTCTCCTTTTCTTGGGATAGCAACTACTGACCTGATACCATCAAAACACTGAAGTGAGGCTGAGCCGAGAGCAATTTCTGTGGCCAGATGTGGGCACATCCTTTTCTCCCTGGGACAGCCACAACACTCTACTCTGAGGACGCTGTGAAGAAGCTCCAGAAGAGGCAAATCTCACACATACCTCACAAAGACAATGTCAAAGATGGATACACACAACAACAGTTTTCATATTCATTAAAATGTCATTATACAACCTGGATTCTATTCCTGCTTGGTAAGAAAAAGGTCATTATTAAGCCTTAAGCATTAAAAGATGGTCCTGAATTGTTAAAAGTAAATAATTAATCCAAAGAAATTCAAGCATCAATATCACAGTAACAGCAACACAAGGCCTTCAAAAACTCTTTTTGAGTGGTGTACAAACAGAATAAGCCACAGCCCACTAAAAGCACTGGTGAGGTTTCAATACTTTTATTTAAATAGTCCAAAATAAATATTTGCTAAGCACAGTATCACAGACAGCAACACAAGGCCTTCAAAAACTCTGAGTGGTATACAAACAGAATAAGCCATAGCCCACTAAAAGCACTAGTGAGGTTTGAATACTTTTATTTAAGTAGTCCAAAATAAATATTTGCTAAGTACAGTATCACACAGCTCTAAATCACATGAGTGCCACCTTCTGGTTAAAGGAAGAAACACTTTGGGCTGTGCACACTGCATTCAAAACATATAGCAGATTTATTATTATTATTATTTATTCTTTCATTTTTTTTTGAAAAAATAATGGTCATCTCCAGCATTCACACAACATTGCAAAAACAAAAACAATTAATTATCTCTAGTACCTAGAGTTAAATAACCATATAAATGCTGTACAAGTATTTTCCCCAAAACTTAACGTCACGGATATCAGGTCTTAGTAAAATACATGAATGAGCGTTATTTTAAATAAACACTTAAATTCAGTGGTTTGTAATACAAGAAGCAGTCCTAGAATGCATGGACTCTTCTTTAAACTCTTCTCTACACTTTTCTAATAGTCCTTTGGTAACTGCCACCAAAGCTGTTTCAAAGCAACTCCAACTGAAGAAGCAAATTTGCTGCAAATCATGCATGGCACCTTCTGCAGATATAAATGCAGCTCCATTTCCTCTGCCATGGGAAGCAGGTTGATGTGATTGTTTCACAGTGGGGGAGGAATTAAATCGCACAGTATTCAGACCAGAGAGAGAGAGCAAACCTGTACAAACATATAAGAAAGGAAGCCATTTTTCTACCGTAGGACTAAAAACAATTCACCAACAGTACTGGGTTTGGGCTTCTTAATTCTGTGTTATGTTTCACTTGCACTGGAGGCAGTGTGCTTCGCATCCCAGCTGACTCCATACTGCATCAAAACCAGCTGTGCAC